GGCTGCCCAAAATCCAACCTTTTTAACATCACATTACGAATTGGCAAAAACATAGAAGAATCGTCAGCACCTGGTCTCACCCTACACAACACTGAAATCAAGTGTCTGCTGTACGCAGATGACCTGGTGCTACTGTCTCCCACTAAGGAGGGGTTACAGCAGCATCTAGATCATCTGCACAGATTCTGTCAGACCTGGGCCCTGACCGTTAATCTAAAAAAAACGAATATAATGATATTCCAAAAAAGGTCAGGAAATCAGGATGACAAATATAAATTCTATTTGGACACAGTTCTATTAGAACACACCAAAAATTACACATATCTAGGACTAAATATCAGCAACACAGGTAGCTTTCACATGGCTGTGAATGAGCTGAGAGACAAAGCAAGAAGAGCATTCTATGCCATTAAAAGGAATATTAAAATCGAAATTCCAATTAGAATCTGGCTCAAAATTTTCCAATCAGTTATAGAACCAATTGCTCTATATGGCAGCGAAGTATGGGGTCCGCTCTCTAATACTGAATTTACCAAATGGGACAAACATCCAATCGAAATACTGCATGCAGAGTTTTGCAAGACTGTATTGCAAGTGCAAAGAAAAACTCCAAATAATGCATGTAGAGCAGAATTGGGGCCAATACCCCCTCCTTATTCGAATAGAAAAAAGAGCCATCAAATTTTACAACCATCTAAAAACAAGTGACCCCAAACATTCCATCACACAGCTCTACTATGTCAAGAGATGAAACAAGAGAAGAGTCCCCTCAGCCAGCTGGTTCTGAGGCTCAGTTCACTAACCAAAACCAACCTCATAGAGCCTCAGGACAGCACTCAGAAAATCTGGCCCAACCAAATCATCACAAAGCAAAAAGAAAAATATATCACCTATTGGAAAGACACCACAAAAAATCAAAGTAAACTTCAATGCTATTTGGCTCTAAACAGACAGTACATGGTGGCAGACTATCTGACCACTGTGACTGATAGAAAACTGAGGAAAACACTGACTAGGTACAGACTCAGTGAGCACAGTCTGGCTATAGAGACCGGTCGTCACAGGCAAACCTGGCTGCCCAGAGAGGACAGGCTGTGCTCACTCTGCCCCCGGGGAGAGGTAGAGACAGAGCTGCATTTCCTATTACACTGTGACAAATACTCAGACCTAAGAGAATCTTTCTTTCCCAAAATTATCATTCAGTACAACGAATTTGAAACTATAAAAGAGGAAGAAAAAATCCAATATTTATTGGGTGAAAAGCCAAAATGTGCAATTTTGGCAGCCAAATATGTGTTCTCCTGCCACAACCTGAGGGACAGCCAGTGAAAATTGTAATGTAATGTCAATAATATTTCCTGTTTTGTTTTGGCTTTCATAGCATGTAATATGTCTTCTCAGTCATGTTGAGATTGGTCGACTACTATTGCTTTAATGTATTGTTATTCTCATTAATATTGTTGTTGTAGTTGCTGTTAATGGTAATCCCATTTCCACTACTACTATTATTATTGCTGTTGGTCCCACCATTTTTGTTATATGTATACTTTGACAATGTAAGTAATTTTACTTGCCATGTCAATAAAGTCTATTGAATTGAATTGAATTGAATTGAATTGAGAGAGACAGAGAGCGAGAGGGAGAGAGAGAGAGAGACAGAGAGAGAGAGAGAGAGAGACAGAGAGAGAGAGCTAATAATATAGAGTAGTAATAATGAAGTGAAGGAAGCTGCCTCCCTTTAACACTACTGATGGTTATTTACAAAAAGGAGGGTTTGAATATGGACAGAAAGGAGGAGAGGGGTGGAGGGAATAGAGAAGAGGGGTGCACTAATTACAATGATGAACACACTCCGTCACATGACTCATCCTTGTCATCCTCCTCTCCTCTCCTGCTCTCTTCCCTCCCTTCTTTGATGTCTCATGGAGACGTACTGAGTCACTGCTGAGGCTCCCCAAATCAAAGTGCTCAACTGTTAGGATGGAGGGATGGAGAGAGAGAGGGAGGGAGCTGGCCTCACATGACACTATGAAACTTGAAAGTTGATACAGTCAGAAAAATTTAATAATGATTAAAGAAAATAAAATGAATATGCTAAACCAGCCCAGGTCCCCTGCTGCCTGTGTTCTGCTCTTAACTTCCTGTCTGTGTGCTAAAGAGGAAACATGTAGGATATTATAATCAAGTATTATATAAATACGATCATAAAACCACAATGCAGCAGCACTACTAAGTTTTGATTTAGCTTGTTACTCCCAGGGATTTAACTCATTCTATAAACAAAGGCATTAACGTTTTCACTTTGATGTTTGTGTTCAATGTAAAATATAATCAAAATTCCAAATAAATATTTGATTATTTTTAAACGAGTAGCTAGCATAACACAGCCCAAACATTCAGCATCGCATTCATGTTATAGCTAGCAGCGTTTAACATGTACACTGTCAACGATCTTCAACCTCCTGTCTTGTTTATAAGGAAGAAGTAGCACTTCTCAATTCTTAGAATAGAATTTCATTTAATCTCTAGAGAATTTATGGAATTTTGAAGAACCTGACACTAGCTAAGGACATCTTTCAGTATTTGTCTACAGTAATGTCTCCAAAACTCTCTCTACAGTAATATACAGCTCGACCCTGACCTGTGTTCTATTCTCTCTCCACACAACAAGCCCTTGAAGCATCACGACTCAGCTGTATAAGAGGCTGATTGCAGTCTTCAGAAGCACTGAACCATCAGATGACATTCAACAAACACACATCTTACTCAACACACACACACACACACATACACTCATTACTGCAGAGCCATGGGTCTGTTATTGGGATCAATAAGAGAAAATATGGTAATAACCTGAGAGACAGTTATTCCCACTGAATAACTAACTCAAAGACAACAGTCAACAACTCACTCACACAGAAGACAACAGTCAGACCACATAACAAGGTAAAGACCAACTCTAGGCCAAGGACTCACTTCACTCTATACAGAAGAGTAAACAACAGCAGAGGGAAAATATTCAGTGTTTGCATTGCATACATGGAGGGATTCACTTTGAGAGATGCGTCGTGCGCTCATGTGTGTGTGCGTCTTACCTGCCAGACTGCCGGGCCTCTGTAGTGTAGCGGTAGCATAGAGCTCGTGGGATATCTTGTACTGGTCGGAGGCGTGGTGAGCAGCCAGTCTTTTAGGAGACAGAGTAGCGTAGCTCCCTATACCCGAACTCATCTAGGGATTCATAAGAATTTGTTCTTAACTGACTTGCCTACTTAAATACATTTTTTAAGAATCATATAGAAACACATTGTGTAGAACAGACATGATTATCTTTATTCTAGAGAGTGTCACTTAAGAATAATGTGCAGTTCTATGCATTGAATATCTATGTATCAATACACACCAGGTGTAGTGGGGATGATGAAGCGCTAGCCCCTCCCCCGGCAACTGTTGCTATGGAGTTGGGTGGAGACCCCACCCTCAGCGGAGACCCTGTCGTTGTCACGGCACCAGTGGTGCTGTAAGCATAACAAATCGTTTGGTTATGGTGATACATTTTAGTTTTTTTAAATTGTAGGTTTAACCTCATTCTTCTTCCAAACTAACCAATGAAATGGCCCTACCTGTAGGACTTGGCGAGTCGATTGGCTGGGGACTGTTTGTTGGGTGAGGATGTGGAGGAGGAGGAAGGCAGGCGCTGGGTGGTAGCATAGCCCGGTGTGTCTGAGGCTGAGCCCAGGCGCTGCAGCTTGCTGGGGGAACCAGACCCTCCTCCTCCCCCTCCGGTCAGAGGGGAACTCACACGCTGGGCAGGCAGGGTGGAACTGGAGTAGTAGTGACCTGGGATCAGATTAGAACAAGGTTGAAGAACGTTAGTCCTCTAGATGCTGATCTAACGCCAGTTTAGCACTTTCCCTAAGCTGTTCCTAGATCTGTAGCTAAGGGCAATTTCTCACTGAAGCTGAACGGATTAGATGCCATGTGTAGTACCTTTTATGGCATTATCTCTGTCTAATTTATCTTCATGTATAATGGTGTGTACTGTATAATAATACAATAATTTCTAACAAAAGCTAAAAGGATTGGATGCCATGTGTGGTTCCTGGTCTCTTTAATGACATTATCTCTCTAAATTATGTCTATAAAATGTTATGTATACAGTACATTGCATGCATATAATGTAGATGTGTATCGGTATTGTAGGTATATTGTATGTAGATAATGTAGATATATACCGATTGTGGGAAGCTGTGCATCAGGCAGATGAAAGGCACTGCCATGGCTCTGAGAGAAGGAGTCTCCTCCACTACCTCCCCCCGCCTGCTGCTGCTGGGCCGCACGACTAGATGTCACCTGGAGGGAGAGAGAGAGAGAATAAAGAGAGATAGATAGAGGAGAGAATAGAGAGGAGATAGATGAGACAAAGAGTGGGAGAGTGAGAGCGAGAGAGAGAGAGAGAGAGAGAGAGAGAGAGTAAAGAGAAGAGAAGAGACAGAGGGGGGGAGAGAGTGAGAGAAAGAGAGAGAGACAGAGAGGGGGAGAAAGAGAGCGAGAGAGAGACAGAGAGGAGGGGGAGAAGAGCGAAGCGAGAGAGGAGAGAGAGAGAGACAAGAGCGAGAGCGAGAGAGATAGAGAGAGGAGTAAAGAGAAGAGACAAAGGGGTGAGAAGAGAGAGAGATAGAGATGATAGAATAGACATAACAATACATATACAGAACAGAGAACAGATACAAGATAGAGAGAAGAGAGATATACATAGATAGACACAGATAGAGATATGACAGAAGATAGACAGACAACAGAGAGATAGAGACAGAGAGAGATAGAGAGATAGAGATAGATACAGAAGCATACGAGAGAGAGAGATACAAGAGACATAGAGACAGTCAGAGACAATATCTCTCGAGATAAAGATGCTATAGAATCGTCTCTTCTTCGACTCTCTTTTAGATAAAGGGGGTTGTAAAAGACAGGAAATTACTATTACACCTTATCACCACATCACTTCTCTCTACGTCTTAATAAGGTAACAGATAGATATGTCTAAAAGTTAGAAACTATAACACTGCCACAGATGATATCTGGTCAAGTTGGAATACACTATCAGATCATGCATTTTGCACCAAGTCACAGTGAGGCAGCTGATCCTATCCCAACCCAACACACAGTGTTATCTAATGTATTCCTCTAGATCCTCAGAGACAGGAGCACAGCATATGTTTCTACTCCTCTGAGCTCCTTCCCCTTATGCTAATGACAGTCACCATGCATATGTCTCGAAACGTGAACCACACACACACACACACACTGAGGCTCGCTTGCAGTAGGCCCCGTTTAACTGTGCGCACACACACACTCCATCCTCAGGCAGCTCCTGGCTCCAGGCTGTATTTTCCCTCCCTAAAAAGCCAGAGCCTGTCTACTGATTACAGTGACTCTGTGGTTCAAGGTCTCTCATTAAGCCCAGGACCACAGCCTAGAATGACATTTTTGCATCTAAATGTACTTATCCATTTTGAGATTTTTTGGTATTTTGGTCCATTAATATTAGTATTTTGAAAAGGTAAAAAAAAAAAGTCAAAAAGCTGATGAAAATGTATATTTCCGTTAGTTTATCATACCGTCATCAAAATGTCAAGAATTGTAACCACTTTTAAATGGACATACATCCATTATTTCAAAGCTATGTAAATCACACATATGTAAAAGCCAATTTCATAGAAAATGTTACAAACTTGACTATATGTAATAACTTACTTTGAAGAGATGGTGATTGGGTCTAAATAGGCTTTTGGCGTTTGATAGTCTTAATTCAGTGTACTTGTCTTTAACTGCCATTTCTTGAAAGTCAGACTCTTCCCACACGCCAACTAATTTCCCTCAGCTTCAGAAGCATCTCCTTCACCAAATTGTGTGTGGTTATCCTTAGAGGCATTCTCCAGACTTGATATGTTGTCAAATGTTTATTCTAAATGACATTTTCGTACCTTTCTTTACTATTTTACAGATAGAAATATGAAAAAAAGTGTTTATCCACAATCTGCTATGTATAAGTGTCACGATCGTCAGGGTAAGGAGTAGACCAAGGCGCAGCGTTGTAGGCAAACATACTCATTTATTAGCGAAACGCGATCAAAACAACAAAAGACGGTAACGTGACAGTACACGGTTAAACACAACCAACTAGAAACAAGAACCCACAAAACACAAAGGAAAACCGACAGTTTAAATATGGCTCCCAATCAGAGACAACCAGCAAACAGCTGACACTCGTTGCCTCTGATTGGGAGTCACTCAGGCCAACATAGAAAATGACAAACTAGAACCCCCAACATAGAAATATAACACATAGAATAAACACACCCTGGCTCAACAAATAGAGTCCCAGAGCCAGGGTGTGACAGTACCCCCCCCCTAAAGGCGCGGACTGCGACCGCGCCTCAATAAGAGCTAAACAGGGGAGGGCTGGGTGGGCATACCTCCTCGGCGGCGGTTCTGGCTCCGGCCTTGCCCACCACCCTCCAATCAACCCCCCATAGCGCCCCTGGTCCGGTCTAGCCCCGCTGGCCGGAGCCGGACTGACGACACGCACCCCTGGCTTGGTGCGTGGAGCAGGAACGGACCGGACCGGGCTGACGATGCGCACCCCTGGCTTGGTGCGTGGAGTAGCACCTGGCCGAACCGGGCTGACGATACACACCCCTGGCTTGGTGCGTGGAGCAGGAATGGACCGGACCGGGCTGACGATGCGCACCCCTGGCTTGGTGCGTGGAGTAGCAACTGGCCGGACCGGGCTGACGACTCGCACCCCTGGCTTTGTGCGTGGAGCCGGAACGGGCCTCACCGAACTGACGACTCGCACCCCTGGCTTGGTGCGTGGAGCCGGAACGGGCCTCACCGGACTGACGACTCGCACCCCTGGCTTGGTGCGTGGAGCCGGAACGGGCCTCACCGGACTGACGACTCGCTCCCCTGGCTTGGTGCGAGTAGCAGGAACGGGCTGGACCAGGCTGACGACTCGCACCCCTGGCTTGGTGCTAGTAGCAGGAACGTTCTGGACCAGGCTGACGACTCGCACCCCTGGCTTGGTGCGAGTGGCAGGAACAGGCTGGACCAGGCTGACGACTCGCACCCCTGGCTTGGTGCGAGTGGCAGGAACAGGCCGGACCGGGCTGGCGACTCGCACCCCTGGCTTGGTGCGAGTGGCAGGAACAGGCCGGGCCGAGCTGGCGACGCACACCGTAGGTTTGGTGCATGGAGCAGGGACAGGCCGGGCTGGGCTGGCGACGCACACCGTAGGCTTGGTGCGTGGAGCAGGGACAGGCCGGGCTGGGCTGGCGACGCACCCCGTAGGCTTGGTGCGTGGAGCAGGGACAGGCCGGGCCGGGCTGGCGACGCACCCCGTAGGCTTGGTGCGTGGAGCAGGGACAGGCCGGGCTGGGCTGGCGACGCACCCCGTAGGCTTGGTGCGTGGAGCAGGGACAGGCCGGGCTGGGCTGGCGACGCACACCGTAGGCTTGGTGTGTGGAGCAGGGACAGGCCGGACCGGGCTGCCGACGCACACCATAGGCTTGGTGCGTGAAGCAGGAACAGGCCGGACCGGGCTGGCGACGCATACCGTAGGTTTGGTGCGAGGAGCAGGAACAGGCCGGACCGGGCTGGCGACGCGCACCGTACACTTGGTGCGAGGGGCTGGAACAGGCCGGACCGTACTGGGGACACACACCACTGGCTCTACCTCGGGATCTGGAACGGGCCGGACCGGACTGGTAACACACCCCAGTACCTCTCGCCGTGCCTCTACACCTTCCCTCCCTGCTTTGACTAGTGGCCCCCGTAACCTGGTGGCCTTCTGAATCCGCCCCTTTTCTGCCTCCGTCAGCCCCGTCGTCCATGCCGTGTGCCCCCCCCTAAAAATGTTTTGGGGTTGCCTCTCGACCGTCCAACGCTGACACTGCTTACGCCGTTGCTCCTCTCTCGTCGCCTCTCAATTGTCTCACTCCATGGCCGGCGATCCATCCCGGCCAGGATCTCCTCCCAGGTCCAGGACCCCTGCCCGTCCAAAATCTGTTCCCACGTCCAGGCTGCCGATTCCTGGACACGCTGCTTGGTCCTGGTATGGTGGGTTCTTCTGTCACGATCGTCAGGGTAAGGAGTAGACCAAGGCGCAGCGTTGTAGGCAAACATACTCATTTATTAGCGAAACGCGATCAAAACAACAAAAGACGGTAACGTGACAGTACACGGTTAAACACAACCAACTAGAAACAAGAACCCACAAAACACAAAGGAAAACCGACAGTTTAAATATGGCTCCCATATAACACTCGTTGCCTCTGATTGGGAGTCACTCAGGCCAACATAGAAAATGACAAACTAGAACCCCCAACATAGAAATATAACACATAGAATAAACACACCCTGGCTCAACAAATAGAGTCCCAGAGCCAGGGTGTGACAATAAGTCTGGTTCTAACTTTTGAAACCAAAATATTTAGGCTGACTTCATCCAGTGTCCAGAAAAAAGAATTAGCATGCTATGCAAATATGCACATATTTAATGATATATAATTAGCATATTACTACAATATTTCAGAAACGTTTATATATTTTTTAAAAAGTATTATTTTTGTGTCCACATTCAACTGGTAAAAGTTGATTGTGATATGATTAAGAGAGAAAAAATCCCTATTAGGGTGTGGTGCCTGACCTTAACAGAAGGCCATGATGACTGATTCATCAGACACCCTTTTCCCTATTTAGTGAACTACTTTTGACCTAGTGCTCTGATCAAAAGTAATGCACTATATAGGGAATAGGGTGCCATTTGGGATGCAGAAATCCTGTGGTTGTCTTAGGGTTTCAGCATTGAGGGAGAAACTGGCTTACATAAACAAACGCACACACACGCGCACACACACACGCGCGCACACACACACGCGCCCACACACACACGCGCACACACACACACAATGTAAAATAAATAGATAGGCACTACGCTCCACTCTTCTTAAGAGATTCACAGTGTGTGTTATAGGTGCTAGATCTCTATGCATTATTGAAGCAGAAGTACCATTGTGGTATAAATACCTAGCTAGTAGTAGTGTATAAGAGCCTCTACTGTATGTGATGCATATGCTTATATAATCAGTCTATCCTGGTCTGGAGTAAACTATACAGCCAGCGCTACTCAGAACATCTCCCCAACCAACCTGACAGACAGGGCAAAACATCACTGGAACACAACGAGACAGAGAGAGAGACAGAGGGAGGACAGGACAGGGATGGGGGGATGTGGCGATGGCGAGGACGGAAAAAGAGGACAGGGCCGCTCATATTGGTACAATTGAAAAAGGAAGAAAGAAGACAAGAGAGACAGGTGTATTTCAAAACAGAAATGCTTCTATTTCTCTCTCTTGTCAGTCTCTTGTTTTTGTATGTGTGTGTGTGTGTAACAAGATCTCACGGTTTTAACAATTTAACTTCAAATTCCGACGTTTGTCCACGTTTCTCCAAACATCACATTTTGTGTGTGTGTGTACTGAAAGTGGTAAACTGAAAAACATAAATTTGCACTTCCTTTCCTCGAGTAATTAGCTACTTTTTCAAAATGTGTCCTTATGTATTATTCATAACCATACAGACAGCACACTACAACTTTGCCCTCTCAATGCAGGCAGTATATTTTAATAAAGCTTTGCAGATGGTAACAAATAGCATGTGTGTCTGCGTGTATGAGCACCTGTGTGTGTGTGTTTGTGTGTGAGTGCGTTGTGTACTGTCAGCTAGCTTATGAAGAAATGAATGCAGGGAATAAATGTCTCGTGCAGGCTAGAGGATCATTGGACTCCTCTTGATCAGTATGAGGAGATTAACACCTGTTCACCTCCTTTAACAAATTATTAGAGAAATAACAAACCAAACTGGTATCTCCCCATGCAATTAAACAGTCCACCTTCACTGCTCCATTCTCCCTTCCACCTAGATCAATTAAACAGTGTTAAATGCATCTGTCTCTTTCCTCTTTCCTCTAACCTCTACTAGCCAATTACACACACACACCGCCCCGGGCGACTATGACCTGTGTAGAGCAGCAGGATAGCCCACACACAATGGTGTGCATGAGAAATAGAGAGAGAGAGAGATGAAGGGAATGAGAAAGAGGAGAGAAAGTTAGAGCCGACTCCTTTATTCAAAGCCAGCAGCTAGCTGAAGACTTTTGACTCGTAAAACGTGACTTTAACCTTCACAAGGTTAAGCTAAGGAGCATTAGAAAAGGTTAAAGCAGTAGATAGTGGGAAGAACAGCCAGTCAAGAGGAGAGCAGGGCAGAGAACTCCCTGCCTGGCTCCCTTCCTCCATACCTCGGTACATAATAAAAACTGCTCAGGACAGTAGCGTTCGGCAAAAAAGAAAGAAAATATTGCTGTAGCATTGAAAGTAACTTTGTCTTGAATGCTACAACTGCTTTACAAGAACAGATTGTGAGTCGCTATACATTAATGGGAGCCATCATCATTATCCTCATCATCATCATATCCTCATCTTCCTCCTCCTCCTCATCATCATCATGGTGACCTACCTGGTTGTAGCTGTGCACGGCCCCTCCGACCTGTCCACTGCGCTGTGGGGTTGCAGCTGCAGCACTGTCGCTAAGGGTGAGGGTCTGGTTGCTATGGTAGCTGGCAGAGTACTGGAGCGAAGCCTCTGGGGTGGAGTTGAGCTGCAAAGTACTCTGGGAAAGAAGAGAAGGACCTGGGGGGAGAGAGAGAGAGAGAGAGAGAGAGAGAGAGAGAGAGAGAGAGAGAGAGAGAGAGAGAGAGAGAGAGAGAACGCGAGAGAGAGAGAGAGAGAGAGAGAGAGAGAACGCGAGAGAGAGAACGCGAGAGAGAGAACGCGAGAGAGAGAGAGAGAGAGAGAGAGAGAGAGAGAGAGAGAGAGAGAGAGAAAGAGGGGAGAGAGAGAGGGAGCGAAGAGGGGGAGAGAGAGGGAAGGGGAGCGATACAGCTATTTAGAACAGGCAGTGCAGCGTTTCTGCCCTCAGTGAGTTAGAAAAAGCATACATGATTTATCAGGAGAGGGAGAGGAGGAGAGGGATGAGGGGGAGGTGGAGAAGGGGGTACACGGGAGAAGGAGAGGAGAGAAAGAAGGGGTGGAGAAGGAGAGAAGATTAAGGAAATGGGGAAATAAAGGGTAAAGTAGGAAGAAGGCAGAGTATGGGAGGTAGAGAGGAGGAAAAGAGAAGGTGAGCTCAGAGGAGCAGAGGAGATGAGGAGAGAGGAGAGAGTAGAGGAGGGGAATAGATGAGAGAGGAGATGAGGGGTATATTAGTAGGAGAGTAGGGTTATAGATGAGTTATTATTTGAGATAGATGCGCGGATCGCGGCGAGCGGAGAGGCTGTATTGCTGCTCTGACGTGATGGGGGCTAGTTGAGGAAGAGGAGAGAGGAGATAGGAGAGGAGGGGGATAGCGAGCATGTATCGCTCTAATCACAGCTCTCTCTCTCACATTCTCTCTTTCTTTCTGTCATTTATGTGTTGGCGTCTCTCAGCCTAGAATCGCTTAATTTGTAATCTGGGCAGTGTGGAGTGATGTCACTCTCAACTGTGGCAGGTTTAAACACACACACACAAACACACACACACGTACACACACAGGAATAAGGGGCGGGGTTGGTCTGGGTTTACTGACTGGTAGTTAGGTCTATGACCTGTGCTGTATCTCACTGTGCTTAAATATATAATACACAGGCTATTCCTACTCCCTATTGGAGAGAAAAGACTCTCTCTCTCTCGCTCTCCCCCCCACTCTCATATTGTCCCTCTCGCTCCCTTTGATGTTTATGTCAGCAGAGCACACACACACACCATACCACAAACACAGTTTTCATCTGAGCCACGCGGACGTTGTCTGACATTTAGCTTAGCGGTTAAGAGCGTTGTGCCAGTAACCGAAAGGTCGCTGGTTCTAATCCCCGAGCCGACTAGGTGAAAAATCTGTCGATGTGCCCTTGAGCAAGGCACTTAACCCTAATTGCTCCTGTAAGTCGCTCTGGATAAGAGCGTCTGCTAAATGACTAAAATGTATGTAAATGTAAATTTAGTTGAAAGTTGTGTGTAATTCACCAGAAACGCTAGTAGGACAATAGGTTTTTTACATTTCTCTACATAACCTTCAACAGGAAATGACAGCCTTTTGCCACCATCTCTACCACCTCTGTAACAAAAAATGTTGGACTATACTAAAGGGGCCATCTACAACCTAAATGGGTTCTTCGGCTGTCCCCATAGGAGAACCCTTTGAAAAACCTTATTTGGTTCCAGGTACAACCCCTTTGGGTTCCATGTAGAACCTTTTACACATAGGGTTCTACATGGAATCCCATAGCATTTTACCTGGAACCAAAAAGGGTTCTACCTGGAGCCAAAAATGGTTCTCCTATGGCAGGGATGGGCAACTTTGATGGGGGTGGGGGCCACAAAATATCTGAACTCATCATGAGGGGCCGCAGTTGCACGCAGGTCTGCGTACCCACATGTGCAGACCCCCCCACCACATTACGTGAAAAACATTTTAGCAGCCCCCCTCTTGACAACGGAGATGTAGATTTAATTTTGTGCAATTCTACACATTTTGCCATGGGTCGTAGAGAATATTTAGCAATTTTATAACTAATTTCATGCAATTCTACACATTTTTCAATAGGGTGGAGAGAAATGTTAGCAGTTTTTAATATGATATCTGAGTGAGACTGACTAACAAAATTACCCGGACTAACTTACCAATGGGTTTACTTACTGGTAGTTAGGTCTATGACCTATGTCAGCTAAATGTTTAGCTGACATAGGCTAATTGAGTGACTATCAGTGACTGACATAAATAGACAAAAACTGCTGATGCACAAACAAATGTCAAAATTGCACCTTGTGTATTTTTACTATTCTAACTTGCAACAGTAAGTTGAGACCCTGACTGAGTACAATACAATACATTGATCCGAGGGCCTTCAAAAGGGGGGCCGACAGTTGCTCATCCCTGTCCTATGGGGACAACCGAAGAACCCTTTTGGGACCCTTTTCTAAAGCTGTGTTCGAATACTCATACTAACCGCACTAACTGTACTATTTGTGATGAGTATGCAGTATGCTTATTGGTCATAGTATGGATATAGTTAGAATGACCAAAGTTCCCGGATGTCGTACTACATTCGCCAAAATTCGCAGAATTTCCGTGCTTTTAGGGCCCATAATATAATCCTTCAGAAAATGGACGTGGCTTCACAACATTTTCAGATTTGAACAAAATGGCGGAAAATAAGCCAAAGTCCGACGAGAGCGGGTAACAAATGTCAGTAAAAAAAGTACATATTCATTAATTTAACTAATTATAAACAAATGTTAAGAAAATGTTGAGCAATGTAATAAAACATTTATGACTTTTCAAATAAGTTACGTTACACGTTGTGTTGCCTGACAATTTGTTAGGTACGCTAGCCTTACGAACCACATTGCATATCATTACAGCAGATGCTTGTATGTACCGGTATGTGTTAGCTAGCTACCTAATGTTAGTTGGCTACTAATACACTATCGGTCAAACGTTTTAGAACACCTAGCCATTCAAGGGTTTATCTTTATTTTTACTATTTTCTACATTGTAGAATAATAGTGAAGACATCAAAACTATGAAACAACACATATGGAATCATGTAGTAACCAAAAAAGTGTTCAACAAATCAAAATATATTTTATATTTGAGGTTCTTCAAACAGCCACCCTTTGCCTTGATGACAGCTTTGCACACTCTTGGCATTCTCTCAACCAGCTTCATGAGGTAGTCACCTGGAATGCATTTCAATTAACAGGTGTGGCTTCTTAAAAGTTAATTTGTGGAATTTCTTTCCTTAATGCGTTTGAGCCAATCAGTTGTGTTGTGGCAAGGTAGTTGGGGTATACAGAAGATAGCCCTATTTGGTAAAAGACCAAGTCCATATAATGGCAAGAACAGCTCAAATAAGCAAAGAGAAACTAAAGTCCATCATTACTTTAAGACATGAAGGTTAGTCAATATGGAACATTTCAATAACTTTTAAAGTTTCTTCAAGTGCAGTTGCAAAAACCATCAAGCGCAATGATGAAACTGGCACACATGAGGACCGCCACAGGAATGGAAGACCCAGAGTCACCCCTGCTGCAGAGGATAAGTTCATTAGAGTTACCAGCCTCAGAAATTGCTGCCCAAATAAATGCTTCACAGAGTTCAAGTAACAGACACATCTCAACATCAACTGTTCAGAGGAGACTGTGTGAATCAGGCCTTCATGGTCGAATTGCTGCAAATAAACCACTACTAAAGGACACCAATAAGAAGAAGAGACTTGCTTGGGCCAAGAAACACGAGCAATGGATATTAGACTGGTGGAAATTTGTCCTTTGGTCTGGAGTCCAAATGTGAGATTTTTGGTTCCAACCGCCGTGTCTTTGTGAGACGCGGTGTGGGTGAACGGATGATCTCCGCATGTGTAGTTCCCACCGTAAAGCATGGAGAAGGAGGTGTTATGGTGTGGGGGTGCTTTGCTGGTGACACTGTCTATGATTTATTTAGAATTCAAGGCACACTTAAACAGCATGGCTACCACAGCATTCTGCAGCGATACGCCATCCCATCTGGTTTGGGCTTAGTGGGACTATAATTTGTTTTTCAACAGGACAATGACCCAACACACCTCCAGGCTGTGTACGGCTATTTTACCAAGAAGGAGAGTGATGGAGTGCTGCATCAGATGACCTGGCCTCCACAATCACCCGACCTCAACCCAAATTGAGATGGTTTGGAGCGTGCAAAGCTGTCATCAAGGCAAAGGGTGGCTATTTGAAGGATCTCAAATCTCAAATATATTTTGATTTGTTTAACACTTTTTTGGTTACTACATGATTCCATATGTGTTATTTCATAGTTTTGATGTCTTCACTATTATTCTACAATGTAGAAAATAGTAAAAATAATGAAAAACCCTTGCATGAGTAGGTGTTCTAAAACTTTTGACCGGTAGGGTACATCGAACTTGCCAGTTTATTAACTATATGCTATCTAACTAGCTGCCCAACGTTTATTGACTTGATTATTCACGTCATTCTTAGCTTAGCTAAGTGGTATAGTCATTGTGCGTTCTCAATGGACATGGTTAATGAAGTCGTAAGATGTCTAGCTAGTAATTTGTTATGCTAACAAGCTAGCAAGAAGTTGCATAGCAACAGCATCAACTTCCGGTAGACAGGCGAACCGCTAGTACAGTACACTCAACTGAAAGGATAGCGTTCGTTTACAGTATACTAAAATGAATTAATAGTATATAGTATGTAGTATATACTCATTAAGTATGTAGTATACAGTATGTTAGTATGGGTATTCGAATACAGCTTAAGAGTGTACACTTGGTTCTCTGTGTTTTGGTTTAAGAGTCATCTTTTTAGAAGCGCTACCTCTCTACACAAGTTAAACCCTCCATGTTCCCTCGTTTTGCTGTAAGCCTGGGAATGCAAACCGCCCTTCACCCCCTGATCTACCTTCTGATACCAACAAACACATCAATATGTTTTGGGCTAAAATGAGAGAGAGGACTGTTCTATCGTTCCACTGTCTCTGTGTAGTGTGGGATTAAAACTATCTGCAGTAGAGTTTCCCAGCATCCTCCTCTCCTCTCCTCCACCCATCTCCTCTCCTACTCTACGTTCCTATGAATTATTAAACAAACAGCACTTTGTGCTTCACAGTGGGAGGGGAAATGTCACACACACACACACACACACACGCAAACACACACCTGTATATGCTGTTTTGTATAAGGGCTTTTTTTTTATTATATAATGTTGTCTGATTCTGAACTGACAGAGGAAAATCCAAACCCAGGGTGTTCTGTTCTTTCCAACTAAATAGTCCCCTCGCCTCTCAGTGGAATGACTGTCATTTTGAGGACTATTAGGAGAGATACACTACATTTAGAAACGACTCTCCTTCTATCAGAAGAAACAGCCTGTGTGTGCATCAGTAAGCTTAAACAGAACCTATGGTTTGGGTTTCTTTTGTAAAATATCATTTCTGAAATGGGCAAATGGCTTTCAGTAAATACAAACTGATGGCTAAACCTCTTTGGGGTAGCATTGACGACAGAGAGATGCAAATGTCTTACAAATTTGATTAAAGTCAAAATAATGTGTTATGTCTCCCGTGTCCCTAAATGAGCTCTTAGTGGGAAGTGCACCAGAGGAAACATATCAAGATTCAGGAAGAGATGAAAGAAAGAGTGGGACCGTTACACACACACACACAGATGCACGCACACACAAACACACACACAAACACACCCTGTCATATTAAAATAAGAGCTGTCCTTACGTTCTCCTGTGTTGTATTCATGTGGGTCCAGTATTCCGGACTCCTGCAGGGATCTGATGCAGGAGTCGACCAGCTCCAGTCCTGTGGTCAATTCATCCTCTATATCCTTCTGGCCATCCGCTGGACAGGAAGCAGGAAACAGGAAACAGGGGGAACAGGTTAGTCTGGGTCACATTCGTGACACAACCTCCATAAAGTGTGTGTATTTTCAATGTCACACAAATTTGATGACGTCCATGTCTGTGATATCTGGTTATATTCTTAGGAAATCTGCATTAAATTTTTTTTAATACAGTGATTATAAATAAAAACGTCTACTAAAAAGTAAAGTATTTGACGTTTAGCCTACCTTGGGTGTTCCAGCGAAACTGCTCATCTGCCGAACTGCAAGAAAACAGAGTTGAGGTTAAGAAAAGGAATTCATAATATGGAGTTTATTATACAGTAATATTCTGTAACCTCATAGTTCGTTGTTATCAAATATTCAAACTATTTACTGTAGACAGCTGACGTAAAATAAACAAACAAGCTATAATAGCGGTGATCAGAGATTCAGCACCATTGAAGCGGACAGCGACTGAATAGGAATTCTGAATTTCAGCACCACAGAACAGTGGACAGCGGCTGTCTGCACTACAGCCACTCGCCACTGGGAGACCACAGCAAGGCCTTACCAGGAAGTTTACACAAGCCTAGAAGTGGAAGGCTCCCAAAGACCTCTGCTAGCTAGCCTGACTCAGCCATATTGACTTTTTCAACCAAACCTTATAATTGTCAATAATAGGGAATAAATTGCAAGTAAACGAAAAAAGACCTCTCCATTGTTTCTTTGAAATCGCTGCCACATCCTCTTTATTTTTCTGGATCAGAGATAGACTGTGCTAGGAGGCTAATGCTGTTCTGTGAGCTAGCTCCCTAGGACAATCAAGGAGAGCCAGTAACATAGTGATTTCCTCTTGAGAGGACAAAGCAGAGTACATTACAGCCAGTCAGACCGGAAAGAAGCAACGGGCTGCTCAGCGTGTGATCATTGTTAGAGCAACATGACACACAAAGAAACACACAAACATATTCGCACGCATTTGTAGACATTTGTAGAAATACTATCTCTCTCATACCTTTACAATACTGTGAAACATTGGTGGTGGATGAGGTGATTTCCCCCCATACACTGTGTCACGTTTCGCTCTCTCTCTCCCTCTCTCTCTTCATCGCTCTCTCTCTCTCTCTCTCTCTCTCTCTCTCTCTCTCTCTCTCTCTCTCTCTGTCTCTTTCTCTCTCAATTCAATTCAATTCAAAGGGCATTATTGGCATGTGAAACATATGTTTACATTGCCAAAGCTAGTGAAATAGATAATAAACAAAAGTGAAATAAACAACATAAATTTGGACTTGTTTTACACTTTTTTGGTTACTACATGATTCCATATGTGTTATTTCATAGTTTTGATATCTTCACTATTATTCTACAATGCAGAAATGTTTTCAAATACTTTATATATATATATATTTTAACCTTTATTTAACTAGGCAAGTCAGTTAAGAACACATTCTTATTTACAATGACAGCCTACCCCGGCCAAACACTACCTTAATGACGCTGGGCCAATTGTGCCGCCCTACGGGACTCCCGATCACGGCCGGTTACGATACAGCCCGGGATCGAACCAGGGTCTATAGTGACACCTCTAGCAATGAGATGCATTGCCTTAGACCGCTGTGCCACTCGGGAGCATGTGTGTGCATGTTTTTAATGAGCCTCTGGAGTGGAGAGATCATTGGCTATGTTATACAGTGAGGGAAAAAAGTATTTGATCCCCTGCTGATTTTGTATGTTTGCCCACTGACAAAGAAATGATCAGTCTATAATTGTAATGGTAGGTTTATTTGAACTGTGAGAGACAGAATAACAACAACAAAATCCAGAAAAACGCATGTCAAAAATGTTATAAATTGATTTGCATTTTAATGAGGGAAATAAGTATTTGACCCCCTCTCAATCAGAAAGATTTCTGGCTCCCAGGTGTCTTTTATACAGGTAACGAGCTGAGATTAGGAGCACACTCTTAAAGGGAGTGCTCCTAATCTCAGTTTGTTACCTGTATAAAAGACACCTGTCCACAGAAGCAATCAATCAATCAGATTCCAAACTCTCCACCATGGCCAAGACCAAAGAGCTCTCCAAGGATGTCAGGGACAAGATTGTAGACCTACACAAGGCTGGAATGGGCTACAAGACCATCGCCAAGTAGCTTGGTGAGAAGGTGACAACAGTTGGTGCGATTATTTGCAAATGGAAGAAACACAAAAGAACTGTCAATCTCCCTCGGCCTGGGGCTCCATGCAAGATCTCACCTCGTGGAGTTGCAATGATAATGAGAACGGTGAGGAATCAGCCCAGAACTACACGGGAGGATCTTGTCAATGATCTCAAGGCAGCTGGGACCATAGTCACCAAGAAAACAATTGGTAACACACTACGCCGTGAAGGACTGAAATCCTGCAGCGCCCGCAAGGTCCCCCTGCTCAAGAAAGCACATATACAGGCCCGTCTGAAGTTTGCCAATGAACATCTGAATGATTCAGAGGAGAACTGGGTGAAAGTGTTGTGGTCAGATGAGACCAAAATCGAGCTCTTTGGCATCAACTCAACTCGCCGTGTTTGGAGGAGGAGGAATGCTGCCTATGACCACAAGAACACCATCCCCACCGTCAAACATGGAGGTGGAAACATTATGCTTTGGGGGTGTTTTTCTGCTAAGTGGACAGGACAACTCCACTGCATCAAAGGGACGATGGACGGGGCCATGTACCGTCAAATCTTGGGTGAGAACCTCCTTCCCTCAGCCAGGGCATTGAAAATGGGTCTTGGTTGGGTATTCCAGCATGACGATGACCCAAAACACACGGCCAAGGCAACAAAGGAGTGGCTCAAGAAGAAGCACATTAAGGTCCTGGAGTGGCCTAGCCAGTCTCCAGACCATAATCCCATAGAAAATCTGTGGAGGGAGCTGAAGGTTCGAGTTGCCAAACGTCAGCCTCGAAACCTTAATGACTTGGAGAAGATCTGCAAAGAGGAGTGGGACAAAATCCCTCCTGAGATGTGTGCAAACCTGGTGGCCTACTACAAGAACGTCTGACCTCTGTGATTGCCAACAAGGGTTTTGCCAACAAGTACTAAGTCATGTTTTGCAGAGGGGTCAAATACTTATTTCCCTCATTAAAATGCAAATCAATTTATAACATTTTTGACATGCGTTTTTCAGGATTTTTTTGTTGTTATTCTGTCTCTCACTGTTCAAATAAACCTACCATTAAAATTATAGACTGATCATGTCTTTGTCAGTGGGCAAACGTACAAAATCAGCAGGGGATCAAATACTTTTTTCCCTCACTGTAACTATGTGCAAATAGTTAAAGTACAAAAGGGAAAATAAAAAAAACATAAATATGGGTTGTATTTACAATGGTGTTTGTTGTTCACTGGTTGCCCTTTTCTTGTGGCAACAGGTCACAAATCTTGCTGCTGTGATGGCACACTGTGTTATTTCACCCAATAGATATGGGAGTTTTTCAAAGTTGGATTTGTTTTCGAATTCTTTGTGGGTCTGTGTAATCTGAAGGAAATATGTGTCTCTAATATGGTCATACATTTGGCAGGAGGTTAGGAAGTGCAGCTCAGTTCGCACCTCATTTTGTGGGCAGTGTGCACATAGCCTGTCTTCTCTTGAGAGCCAGGTCTGCCTACGGTGGCCTTTTCAATAGCAAGGCTATGCTCACTGAGTCTGTACATAGTCAAAGCTTTCCTTAATTTTGGGTCAGTCACAGTTGTCAGGTATTCTGCCACTGTGTACTCTCTGTTTAGGGCCACATAGCATTCTAGTTTGCTCAGTGTTTTTGTAGATTCTTTCCAATGTGTCAAGTAATTATCTTTTTGTTTTCTCATGATTTGGTTGGGTCTAATTGTGTTGTTTTCCTGGGGCTCTGTGGGGTCTGTTTCTGTTTGTGAACGGAGCCCCTGGACCAGCTTGCTTAGGGGACTCTTCTTCAGGTTCATCTCTCTGTAGGTGATGGCTTTGTTATGGAAGGTTTGGGAATCACTTCCTTTTTGGTTGTTGTAGAATATATTTTCTGGATTTTGATAATTAGCAGGTATCGTCCTAATTCTGCTCTGCGTGCATTATTTTGTGTTTTTTGTTGTACAGTGAGGATATTTTTGTAGAATTCTGCATGCAGTCTCAATTTGGTGCCCATTTTGTGAATTCTTTGTTGGTGAGGGGACCCCAGACCTCACAACCATAAAGGGCAATGGGTTCTATAACTGATTCAAGTATTTTTAGCCAGATCCTAATGTATGTCAAATTGTATGTTGTTTTTGATGGCATAGAAGGCCCTTCTTGCCTTGTCTCTCAGATCGTTCACAGCTTTGTGGAAGTTACCTGTGGCGCTAATGTTTAGGCCGAGGTATGTATAGTTTTTTGTGATATCTCTCTCTCTCTCTCTCTCTCTCGCTCTCAGAAATACTATAGCAGGCTATACAGAAACACACAATGAGTATGTGTGTGCGTGTGTCCGTGCATGTGTGTGCGTGTTTTTAATGAGCCCCTGGAGTGGAGGGATCACTGGGTCAAGAGGAGCTCCCCTCGTAGGCTGTCTAGGGATCCTGGTGATCACATAGACCACGGCAGTGTGTGTGTGTGTGTGTGTGTGTGTGTGCACCCAGGCCTTGCCCCTAATTGCACTGCAGTAGAGCTTTCCAGTGTAAAATAGATGGAGGACAATACAGAGGGAGAGAGAGGGAGAGATAGAGAGAGGGATAGAGAGAGAGGGGGAGAGAGGGAGAGAGAGAGAGGGCTAGAGAAGTTAACTATTTAATTTTTATCCCGGCCTGCCTGTAGTTATGGATCCTCTATTGTTTTTGAGAGCAGGATCTTCTGTATTCTAGTCCTTCAACAACCTCTGGTCTACAGAACAGACAGGTTCTTCTGTATTCTAGTCCATCAACAACCTCTGGTCCACAGAACAGAAAGGAACTTCTGGGGATCTAGTCATAGAGATACACAGATATCTCCCCAGTCGCAATAAAGCAGCTCGCTGGTCACAGTGAATAAGTTATTGGTCGTCCACAGGGTAATATTACTCTTGGAAATGCCTTTATATTCTCCCAGCTGGTTCTACTTAATATGTTTTTCCTGCGCTACATACGACTATATCGGTCCACTAATACAGGCCTAGTGCACTACTTGTGAATAAAATGTGAGTGTTTGGGCTTAGTCTGTCTGTGAGTGTTTGGGCTTGAGCGCAGCAAGACAATGTGAATGCAAATGTCAAATTCTAAACAATGTGAAAACTCCTGGGTGGAGAGAGATTTTAATTATGTTAG